TGACCGATTTCACTCGGTTCGAGTCCCTGTGTACATTTCACTCCATGCGCTATTTCTCAAGACAGGTATACTGCCGTTTCACTGAGCATATCGTGAAGGGAAGGCCTGATATCTGCAAGAATGGGAATCATAGCTTAGGCCCTCTGCTCAGTGAAGCGGCAGTGTACCTGCTTCTAGGGCCTTGAGAAATAGCGTCTGGAGTGAAATACACACAGAGATTGGAACCGAGTGAAATAGGTTAACCAGAAAGATAAGAAACGGATCTACGAGACAATGAAATGATCCGGATTGGAGGCCCGGGTCGGATCAGCCGATCGAAAGAGAGGGGTCGGGGTGAATAGCAAGTGTGATGAGGCCACACTAGATTTGCCACAAAAGGGCAGACATTTTGATGAGTGGAATGTAAACAAGTGAGAATTTGTGATAGGGCGGCAGTGGAATAAGAGGATAAAGAGTAGATGGATAGGCCAGGACAGAAGGAGGAGGGATAATGTTACCGTTTTCCACAGAACGTTTATCGAGGGACGAGTTCGTAGCTGGATGCGGAGAATGGCAAAGCTCACTGATTATGCCGGCCAAACGTTTGAGAATGTACTCAGTCGACTGTCTGATGCTGGGAATCATGACAACTACTATGGCAGATGACTTCTGACTAGGTGCGTTCTACTAAGTCTTCGTGACAACAAGACCAAGTTTTGACCACGAGGTTAACCAACTTTTATATATTCAAACGAGACTTTGACCATACCAGAGGCCATAACATCTTGGTCTTCATATTTTCAATTAAACTACGGTGATAAAATTGCCATGCAATGCGCTGAATACACCCAGACAAAGAAGACAATTGTAAGTCAATATTCCCATCTGACTTTATTAAACTGTTGTAAACTTTATGGTATCACTCTTGAGTTATGTAACCTTAAAAGACCCTACCACTCGTATAAGGTTAATGATTATCTCCACCAGGCTTTCAATTAGGAACTAAGTGAGGCATGTGATACAGAACTGAATAAGTTGTTTAAATTTATGGATATTAAGTCCAGTGTGATTTGACCAGGATCCTGTATACTGAAGATTTTCAAAACTCCAGAGCATAACCGACAGGAAATCACGTAGGATTTCTGACTTAATAACAAAACGGTATGATGATAAATAGCGTAAATTTGGGATTATTAGACAGCCTAAGTAAGAGCCAGTATACCCAGTTGAAGTGGCCTCCAACGTGACAACACCTTTGTGTGCCAACCCACAAATGTTGTGGTTCAACATTGAACCAAATCAAAACAAGTTGTACCACAACATTTTTGGGTTGACACACAAGAGACTAGGGCATGGTAAATCATAGAATTGGTATCAGGGATAGAAACAAGATAGAGACGGCGTGGACCGGAGCTAGTTGGCTAACGGTAGGTCTGTTGTACCAGAGACGTGGTAAATGTAGCAACGGGGTGACCATGACACTCAGAGGCTTGCACCTCGAATTAGTCACTCAGACGCAGGGGAGGGCGAATAACGCATCGAGTAGGACAGATGTGGTAGCAGGAGTCGAGTAAAATAGGTGAACAGGGGGTAGAGCAGACGGATTTTACGGAGCAAGAGAAAGACTGAGATAAGACTAGGAAAGAGAACTGCATAATAATAAAGCAGACTCTGCTCAACATTCCCTGCACAAGGAGCACATCACACTATAACTAAATAAACACGGTAAAAATTTTAATATTAAGGGCATAATAGGATGATACCGGAAACGCGAATAACCCAGGGAAGAAGGGGAGATACCACAAATGTGTAGCACATGTTTGGTGAAAGGATCGGCTTAACTTGTCTCTTTGACGAGTTGTTGTATGGTGTTTAGAATGGCGATACTCACTGACGATGCCGACTACGATGCCGACGAAACGTTTGAAAATGTACCACGTTG